AGAAGAAGAAGAAGAAGAAGAAGAAGAAGAAGAAGAAGAAGAAGAAGAAAAAGAAGAAGAAGAAGAAGAAGAAGAAGAAGAAGAAGAAGAAGAAGAAGAAGAAGAAGAAGAAGGAGGAGCAGCAGCAGCAGCAGAAGAAGAAGAAGAAGAAGAAGAAGAAGAAGAAAAAGAAGAAGAAGAAGAAGAAGAAGAAGAAGAAGAAGAAGAAGAAGAAGAAGAAGAAGAAGAAGAAAAAAGACGTGTTATTTACACAGGTCAAAATGCTGTCAAAATAATGAATGTGAAACTTATCAATTGCACAATGTCATAACTAGAGCATCTACCCCTAAACAGAGAAAACTATACATGCCAGAAGGGCAAACTAGAGCACTTAGTGTTACATGCAAGTAATCAATCAATCAGGCACCATTTCTATAATAAATGGATCTACAAAACACCCTGTCTCTCGCCCCAGATGTACTCTCTCAGACGATGTTTCTCAATCCCTTGCGGTTACCCTTCCGCTTGTATCGCTGTCTGCCTCTTGTGTAACCCTTATAGGTGCGAGGCAGGAAAACCACGCAGGACCACCCGTCGTTACATCAACCAGAACAAGAATAGGAGTTGTTAGCCTAAAAACACAAGAGGAGATCGGAGCACTTACGGTGATGTATGATGTGCGTTGAAGATGATCTCAAAATGAACAAAGATGTTGTAAACATCTAAACATCCCTTGGGGGAAAAATAGGCGTCCCGCCCCTGCCTTAGTAGGCTGAACAGGCTATGTGAGATTTGTCCTGTTGGACACACATCCACGATGAGACTGAGTTGCAGGAACGCTAAACCCTCAGGTAGCAATGAGCATGGGTGAACAAGTCAGTCAAAACCTACCAAACACATAAAATATATACAGTAGTCGATTTGCCTGTCGGCTGGTAAAAAAGATAATGTAATAATTCTAAGTGTGTATAGCCAAAATATAATGCCCGACTACTTTCATCAACATCAAACTCCAATTCTGGTGGCGACTGTTGGCTTTGGCGCCTCAAGCAACTGCAATATATATTTACTAAGTGCGATAATTGTTTGTTCACCAGTTTTTCAAATGCGACACTAAGAAACATTTCATTTGATTTTCACTGGCACAGGAACGGAGCAAGTATGGGGTAATACCATTGCAGTGAAGTTGAAACCTCGACTAACTAGTTAACAAAAACAGATCAAGGCCTATCCGGCGGGGCGGGGTGGGGTTCGTGCACTGAATCGACTTTCTCCATATGGTCCGGTAAAAGAGATCAAACATTTAGGGTGTATTAGTAATTCTTCAAAGAAACATTTTATGGGACAGGAGATAGTACCCCTTTCCAAGACTCTCACCTCAATTTTTCCAACCACCCAATCCTTCCCCTTTCCCCACACAGACCGGCTATGGCTGCCGCAGTTCCTTCTTCAACAATGTAATTTTAATGGCGGATGCCGTTAACAGCGAAATGAGACAAAAGAAGCCAGCAGCCATTCAAAACCAGGGCCTGGCTGTTTATTTTATGGTGGACAATCAGGCAAGGCAAGTCAACCGGCTCACAGACCACAGTCATACAGTGAGATCTATAAAGCTGCCAGACTTAGGTCAAGGAGGCATTAGACGCTACACACTCGCATGAGGGCCAACGGTTTAAATCACCACAGAATATTTTTTTTTCTTTTTCAAAATTGAACTTAGCTTCCAGGTTGAACATGCCTAAAATAGGTAATGGTATTCTCTTAGGATGTAAAGGCTGCTGGCACAGAGCTGAGAAAATCACCCCATCGAGTGCCGGTTGGTTTAAGTAATTTCCGTGTGAGTTCCGGGTCCCACTGTGGCGGAAAACCAGAATAGGCCCACTTTTGTAAGAAATATCTGGCAGAAAGACGAAAGGGGAGAGTGGCATAAGACTGATACAATGGAGGAAGAGTGGCCGACAGCATGTGACACAGAAATACAGAAAAACTAAGATTGAGAAGAAGAAAAAAAAACAGAAGTTTCGCAAATGTCTGGTCTCATCTTGACGAGCCAGCATATAGCCTATCCACGTTGGAATCTGGCCTGTTTGCCCGACAACGCAGGCGAAAGCGACACTGTCGTCTGCTTCTCTGTGTTTACATATTATTGAGATTTCAAAGAGAAAATAAGATACCAACTGTTGGGGAACTCTTCATTCACCAAAGGAAATAAATGTACAGCTGACTGCTAACCGATGAGGCTGACCAGGACATTTCAACAAAATTGGCTTGTGTGCCAAAATTTTGAAAATGGCAATCGTCACGGGCCAGGAAGACCAAGCCCCAGCATAAAAAGAACAGTAATACAAGTACAACCGGCAATGATCAGTGGGCCACTTGCTAGGCCTCCGTAGGCCATATATGGTCCGCGGACCGTTAGTTGAATAGCTCTGAAGCAGACGAAACAAACAGAACCAGAGAACACGCTAGTCAACAAAAGTATCGACATTCAGAAATCAGCACATTTAGATAATGGCAATGCTGCAGGCTGTGCTGAGAGACTCAGTGTGCCATCGATCAGGGGAGTTTGGAGAACTTAAGAGGCTATATACCTACAATTAAAATCATTCTTCCCTAAATGCAGTCACGGGAAAAATAAACGGGATATGATTTGTTTAGATGAGATCTAGCAGACATGTACATCATACACCTGTGTTGCGGGTCTCCTAACATAAGAACTTATGCCATTTGGAAAAGAAAAATTAGAGATAAAAAAGAAAACTGCAGACTGGTTAAGAATCGAGGGTCCTTTTCTGTTAATCAACCACATCACGAGAGATTTAGGGAAATCCCTAATATAGGGGGTTAGGTTAGGGTTAGTGGTAGTCGCTATTCATTTCACACTAACCCTAACCCACCACCCCCAAATTCTCCATACCATGGGATTTCCCTAAATCTCGCGTGATGTGGTAGCTTAACTTTTTGAGTCCTAAGGAACGCACCATGCACCTACCGATTACTACCCAGCAGCCCAATCGGCGCGTGACGTGTACAGGTATTTAATTTACCACTGACCGATATAAAAACGCGAAATAGCAATTATTAATGGCCTTTCCTGTTCTGTGTGTCCAATAACATATATACTGATCATTAGGTATATTCAGAAATGTGGTTAAAAGCATAATTCCTCAACAATCCCTGGTCACTTCGATGAATAACGTATACATTGCTGAATTAGTGTGGTCTGTTTGAATGTGTTACACTAGTAACCCCTTAAGCCTCTGATGATTAACCTCTGGGACCGAAAGAGCTTACAGAAAGGAACTGAGTAGAGTATAGTTATATGTATATGATAGCAACAGCGGTCCTGAGATTCCATGCTCTAACTGTGAAAGACTCTCCTTGACTTGAGGAGGCTTGCTAGACACACTACCCATCACTAACGCAGGAAAAGCACAACTGGTTTGAGTTCAACATGAGAATTCCACAGTGTAACATCAACGACAGGAGCTCAAGGCCAGATTATTCGGTAATTTTTCACCAACCTCAAAGGCAAAAAAAATTTGCTTTGGGGCTAGTTTTGACCCATGACCCACAGTCTGTCCACCCCTGACCTATAGTCTGTCTACCAGTGACCCATAGTCGGTCCACCGGTGACCGATAGTCTGTCCACCCGTGATCCATAGTCTGTCTACCTGTGACCAACAGTCTGTCTACCCGTGACCCATAGTCGGTCCACCTGTGACCCATATTTTGCCCACCAGTGACCCAAAGTCGGTCTACCCATGTCCTAAACTAAAAATTAATTCCCAGGTCTGATAACAACTGTCTGCTCACATTCCACATTTACATGAACCCAGCATCACAAGATGGCTGATAGTAAAGGCATCCCTTGAGCATGTGTCCTGACAGACACATGCACTAACCATTATCCCACCACAGATCACATTATATGGGTAGGAAGATAGGTAGGTAAACACCAGATCATGATAGGACAGTATGCATTGCAGCAGGTCAACCAGTTCAGATACCTTGGAGTTGTATTAGACCGAAACGGAGGTACTAAGACTGACTTGGCTACAAGAAAAGCAGCTGCTGTGAGACTCTTCCAGGCCATAGACCGAGGGTTTCTTAGCAAAAGAGAAATGGGCAAGAGGACAAAAATGGCTGTTTACCGCTCTACCTATATACCAGTCCTGACCTACGGTTTGTGAGTCATGGGCAATGACAATAGCTCACAGAAACCAGCTTCAGGTCTCAAAAATGAGATATCTGAGAAAGGTGGTCCAAGTGACAAGAAGGGACAAAGTCCACAATCAGACAATACGTCAAGATCTTGATACCCAATCCTTACAAACCCGAGTGGATCAGTCACAGTTACGATGGTTTGGACATGTATGCAGAATGAGAGAAAATTGGCTACCATGGCAGGCATGGGAGGCTAAGAACCAGGGAACAAGACCTCCAGGGCGACCCAGGGTACGCTGGGAAGACAACATCCGACAGTCCCTAACTGACAGAGGACTGGGATGGAACAAAGCCAATAAGAAAACTGCTGATAGAGATGTCTGGCGATCTCTCTGGCAAACCTCTTCACCCCATGGTTAGAAGAGGAGCGACTATGTAAGTAAGATAGGTAACAGTGACTTGTATAGGGACAGACATACACAGAAGACTTCCTACAGCTGTGAACTAGTCTGTATTGGGACAGACATCCACTGAGGACTTTCTACAGCCGTGAACTAGTCTGTAAAGGGACAGACATCCACGGAGGTCTTCATACAGCTGTGAAATAGTCCGTATAGGGATAGACATCCACCGAGGTCTTCATACAGCTGTGAACTAGTCTGTATAGGGACAGACATCCACGGAGGTCTTCCTACAGCTATGAACTAGTCTGTATAGGGATAGACATCCACCGAGGACTTCATACAGCTGTGAACTAATCTGTATAGGGATAGACATCCACCGAGGACTTCATACAGCTATGAACTAGTCTGTATAGGGACAGACATCTACCGAGGACTTCATACAGCTGTGAACTAGTCTGTATAGGGACAGACATCCACAGAAGACTTCATACAGTTGTGAACTAGTCTGTATTGGGACAGACATCCACTGAGGATTTCATACAGCTGTGAACTAGTCTGTATAGGAACAGACATCCACTGAGGACTTCCTACAGCTGTGAACTAGTCTGTATAGGGACAGACATCCATCAAGGACTTCATACAGTTCTGAACTAGTCTGTACTGGGAACTTCAAGGACTTCATACCCCCACTGGCTGTTTTTGATAGAGACTTACAATAATCTTCCTTCAACACTGGAACTGATTATAATTAGAGTATTCAGGAGACGACTGTGAATCAAAAACCCTCACAAGACTACAACAACTTCATGTTAAAAGATGTGTCACCAGATGTTAAAAACTATATGGTAAGCAAAGAAAAATAGTAAACCAACACAGAACTGGTGCTTTCAGTGGCCAACACACCTAGGGAGATACTCACAATGGCATCCGAGTGGTTATGGACTAGTCCGATGTGCAACAAGGATAAATGGTCAATCAACTAACTAGAACTAACTACATGAAAACAGTCCTTTTCTTTTGCAGATTATAAAGACATTTATGATTAACTAAACTCAAATTCCAGGTGTTTTTCTTATGTTGGAGTCAATAAATGGAAACAGAACGCCAATCACAAAGACAAATTTAGCTGGGTGATAAAGGAAGCAAAGAACATAAAAGGCTTGGAATGCTAAAGAAGGTTTGTCTCTTAAAAATTATAACAGTGTTCTCCCCAAATTTAACCATCTAAACAACACTTCGTGACAACAAATCAAACGTCTTCTTTTAAATTAAAAAAAAAAATACCTAACAATTTAACTCACTTTATGGCAATATGAAAGATTTTACAATTAACTGATTAAAAACAGGAAAGCCATGGATGGCCGTAGCTGAAGATATCATCATGCTGGTGGCAAAAATTGAGCATATGCACAGGCAGCAGAAATGAATTGACGCCAGGAAGAGAAGTGTAGAGAGTGTGGCATAATGGTATGACAGAATTAGAAGTACAACAATTAACAGATGAAAATGCTGGGAAGGATGATGCAATAGTGCAAGCCTATTCAACTAAGTTCATTCAAGGGCCAAAAAGTTGACAAATAGGGAAGGTAACGGGCCAAAGACCTCAACTCCAGCATAGAAAGATCCGTTATACAATATAAATTACAATGATTACGGGCCATTTACTGGGCCTCCGCAGGCCACATTTGGCCTGCAGGCTACCTGTTAAATAACCCTGCAATAGTGTCTCCCATTGGTTCTGTTTATCCGAGTAAAGATCTGGATGTGCATTTTTAGCTACAGTGAATGCAAAGATCGTCACAGAACAAAATGGTGCTTTCTTTTTTTAAATCTACAGCTTCAAGTATGAGGTTAGAAGTGGAAGCAATCACTGCAGCTCTGAAATCGATAGCTCAACTTAGAGATACTAAAGAAATTAAGGTTTCTGATTCTCAGTCGGTACTGCGGAAGGTTAAAAATGGCCGAATGTTGCACGAGTGGATACCAAGCATCAGAACATCCCCATTACAGGAACTCACGTGGATATGCAGGAGTTTGAGGGAATGAAAGAGTGGATTTTTTCAATACAAAAGTAATTCCTATATTAACGCTCGTACTGGACAAAGGAGACATTCTCAAAGACCATTTATGAACAAATGCTGATACGAGGTTAGTTGAAATAACTTGCATAAGAATGTGTGAACACGGAATCAATGGATCCAGCAAGATGGGACGCAAGATGAAAACGATGTGTGTATAATCAGTGTGCTACAAGAACAGTGAGTATCTACATCCTAAAACATTTGCTGCGGGAGACAGAGCATCTATGGGTATGCCCAGAGTGCTATGATGTTGATTCTCAAATCTTCAAAGCTCATCAACTAAAAGTTCCCTATAGCAAAACTAAACTAATTACACATGGTGAAAGTTATGTAGCCAAACCTGAAGCAGACAGAACACAAACATATATACCAATTCACCCAAATCTATTTCTTCTCTTGCAACTGTCCTCTAAACACCGACTGACTGTATGTGTTGTAGTTTACAATTACATCGAGATATCAACACTTTTCGGCCCATCATATTCAATTTCATCAAAACCTTTATCAATCACCTCTTGCAGCATGCTGTTAACTTTTTCTGTGCCAAACAATGCACTAAGCATGCTTGGCTTATGACTATATGTATCAATGCAACACATACTGTGTTTCTATTTATTGTATGTTTGGTCTGGGTATGCAAAGGAAATCTGGCCAAATATTTTTAATGCAGCTCAGTATTTGCTGTATCTCTAAACGTTTTTTTTTTTTACTGTGACTACTGTGCCAGATTGAGTTTCCACTCTGAAACCATCTGGGATTGAAAGACTTAAGAGACACTGGATCAATTATAAACCCCCCACATACACTCAAAAAACCAAACTCAGGCCCTAGAACCCACATGGGGCAAATCCAAATTTTAGAAATACTAGCAAAAAAACTAACTCTTTGACCAAAACCAGTAACTGTGCTGTAATAGTGATAATTCCTTTCTAAGGTCGGTATGCGAGTTATGTAGACCTTTGACAATAGTAGCTAAATGCTGAATTAAGAATTGGCACCATAGCGCTGTCTTCAGCAGAAAGCAAAGAGTTCTAATTCCAACTAGGGAATTAGGCCCACAAAAAGACACTAATGCCACACTCATCAAGTCCTGGTTAAAATTATCAAAAAAAAAAAAAAAGATGTACAATAAATTTGTGATAAAAAAGAGAGTGAAAAATTTAACATAAACAGTGATTTAACTCTTTCAGTCTTAAGTGGTTTAGAATCAGATGCCCAAGAGGAAGGACACAGAAATGTCAACACATCTTGTGTTCATTGCTCTTCAAGGTAAGAACCTATTAACATATGGTATGTTCCTTGAAACTGAAAGAGTTAAGTGTGACGGTGTGGGAGTTAAAGCAGCATAACACTCAAAGCAGCAATGAGTGAACACACACGGATCACATTTACATGTATTTTTTTTACATGTATTTTTTTGCGATAATTCAATAAACTGTTGTTTCTCTTTCCCCATTACCTAGCAGGTCCTTTGCAGAACATTACTCCGATCACAGCCAGTGGAAAACAGCTCAAGTCTCTCCCCAGCTCTCCTGCCTCATAGTGTCACTTATATCCTGTGCCCATCTTAGCCCCTGCCCCTCTTTCCTGGCACCATACAGTCTGCTACTTATCTTTCCAATCTGCCACGGCACTTTCCTCTTAACATGTAACACTTATAATAGAAAACTCTCAGTGTGGCTTCGCAGGCCCAGTTTTATGGTAGAAAAGATGGGGGGAGAGACCAAGGCTTCTCTAACAACCATGTCATAAAAGACGTCTTATTATAGGTTTGCTAAAATCAGCTGTGCTAGGCAGAAAAGGTGGAGATGCTGCAACCTAGCTGTACACCGCAATATAATGTGCCAACACAGGCAGATGAACTAGTTACTACCTAATGCTAACTTGGTTTTTTTTTCTCTTCATTGTTTTAACAAATCAGAAACACTGCAAGCCGGAAGAAAACAAACCTCAAGAAAACAGTTTTCAAATTATTTCTGAAAACTAGTCAACAATTAAATCTTTAGATGCATGAGTTGCTTGTGAAATATCCATATATAAAAAAAACAAGAACAAAATGTGTGCAACTGATCAATTATTTCGACAAGACAAATGGAAAAATGCAGTAGAATTGACATCTTTGTTATTAACAAACAAAATAAAAACTGATATGTCACAACGTTTAAAACCAATGGATCCAACGTTTTCCTAATTTAAAATCCTGAAGTGATCAAATATAATCGAACACAGGTGACTATAGCAATGTGATATTAGACAGAGCTGAAGATAAAAGTTAAAAATGTGCTATCAATAAACTCCATGGCACCAGGTAACTTGAATGCAGACGAAAACTTAAGTATGTCATACAGTTACTGTAAATGGAAAAAAAACACTACCACACTGGTAAAATATCTACAGCCTCGCATTTTTGGTACGAGTTCTTGTCTGGGTGTATGTAGAAACACTACAGCCTCACATTTTTGGTACGAGTTCTTGTCTGGGTGTATGTAGAAACACTACAGCCTCACATTTTTGGTACGAGTTCTTGTCTGGGTGTATGAAGAAACACTACAGTCTACCACTGATGAGACAATGTTCTATTAAAACGGTATAATCATATATCCCTGTAGACTTACGGAAATAAGGGTGCAGCCTGGAGCTGCAAGAAATTAAAATTTCACTAATGTGACATTTCATTAACCAACACAGAACAGGTGTCATCAGTCGTTTTACACTTGTGGAGCTTTTGGAGCACCTATGGATCTGTCCGGTGTGCTGTGATGAAAATCTTTTCTAATCATTAATCACTATGTATTTTGGTAACAACAACAACAACAACAAATACTACAAGCACATTAACAATAATAGAAATGCACATATTTAAAACATCAGTGAAGCAGAACTGGTCAAATCAACAGTTAAAGAGGGAGTGATGTGTAGAACACACGTGTAAACTACAACAAGAAATGGAACAACTACATCTGTAAGCACTCCTTTAGGTCTGCATATTAAAACAATGGGAAAAAGCATGTGCATTTGATCAGCTTAAACTAGAGCATGTTTTACCTGCAAGACGAAGCGCCGACATCCTCTGAAACTCCGGTTCCTGTAACCATTTCCACATTCGTCGAAATGTTTCTCTGCCAGATTTAAGTTTGCTCCACGGTTTGGGATTTCGTAAAAGGTCACTTAGTGTGCCTTGACTTCTACACAAAACTCTCTGGGCGAAGACAGCTTGCGGTATGCTGTAGCGTTTGAGTTCGCTGCTGATTCTCTGAGCCAGTTCCTTGGTGTTGATCTCCTCAATATCCTGCTGCTGTTGTTGTTGCTGTTTGCTTTGAATGTCCAGCGATGTGCCTGGTCGCTCTCGCTGTGGACTTTCGCTGTGAGGTGATGGTGTAGGGGCACTGTGAATTCCATTTATGGATACCATCATAGAATTTGGTGAATGTAATCTTGTGTTGTGGTCTATTCGCATGGGCGATGATGCGTAAGAGTCAACATAACTGTCTGGTGATGCCATCTTGGGCTCTGACTTAGGGGATACTAACCCATTTTGTATATACCCATAAGAGCCTAAACTCTGTTGGTAGTTTAAGTTGTTTCCTGACATCATAGTCATGGCAGTGGCCCCAAGAGTGGGCCCCATGTTCATACTCACCCCTGCCATGGTCAACTTCTCATGATACCTGTGTCCATATGCAGCCATATCCATAAGTCCGGCGCCCAGACCGTTGTTCTGGGGCATGAGTGTGAAACTGCCGCTGACATTAGGACCTGTAACGTTGACATGACTGAACTTATCCGAAACGGTAGAAATCGGAGGAAGTGGCTGTAACGGCGTCAAAGTGGCGTAGTTGTTTGGGCTGTAACTAGGGCTCATCCGACCGTTCAGTGTATGATATGTAACATCGCCCATCTGGGAGCGGAACTCGCTGGAGTCGATCATGCTGCTCACACTGACCGGAATGGCCTCCGAGCGAGTGATGCTCGTCTCGAGTTCGTCTTGAGCATTCACGTAATCCCCTTCTCCAGGAGAAGGTTGGCTCTGAGTGGCCGTTCCGTTAGACGAATCACCGTTGATTTGTTGATCGCCCGGGAGCTCGCCCATGTTTTCCATCGTCATTCCTACAATAAAAAAAAAAGCGATCGAACAATTAAAGAATGATAAACTGTCAATTCGTATAACCTTTGGTAGAACGGTGCTGGTTGGCTAGCTGGGCTGACAAGGCTCCTACGTACGCTCGGGAACAGAGAGACTGTGGCCTCGGCAAGCCTCCATGTTTGGACAGCTGTCACCAACGACCTGCGCACGACCGTCTGCGCACACCAACAGTGGTTCTAAGTTATCTCAACCTGGGGACCTCCTTATTTCTCCAAGATCTGCCACGGGCCCTATACTTTTGAATCATTATACTGAAAAACATACTGTTAAGATATAACATGCAACCAGAACTACTGCAGCCAATTAGGGTTAAAATAAAATTAAAAGAGAAGATCAATCACTGAGACAAATTGAGGCAAATGATTTCTGCTACAATAAACTTCAAGTGGCCTAAATATGTAAAGAAAAAGAATACTGAAGAAAGAACTTATTATAGTGTTTAAAAATAAACATCGCAAAATGATCGCATTCTAAAGCTCAGTGGTGTGTCTGTGGCTTTTTTTAAAGTGTCTATGCGTGCATGTGTGTGTGAATCATAACCTTTCCCCTAAAAATTTGTTACGTGGACGGCCTCGGGGTCTACGGACAACGAAATGAGAAACCTTGTATTAGACCTTGCGCATGCGTGAATAATTTCCCCGCGAACACAATCAACTCTGATGGTTTGTGTTTGGAACCCTGGTCTAAGGCAGACAGTTTACCTTTTCCCCGATATCTACACTCCTAAATACTACTGCTCACTCTTTCCCTATTAATTCTAATCAACTTGTATAGTTAATCACCGTCTGTATTTGTGCTATGAATGTTTTGTTTGGTGTGGTGGTGACACAACTTCTTAGTAACTATCGATATGGAGGTCGCCCCTCCAAGCAACAAAAGCCTGCCCCTCAATCAATGTTCAGATCGAACTTTTCTGGCGAATTTGACAAGTTTAACAGGTGGCAAAATAGCCCCAATGATTTCCGATTTTACTAGAAAAATTGTTCAATATTTAGCCCAGTTAAAACACATAGCAACTCCGGTGTTCCCACAGTACAGGAGCAAGTTCCTGAGAGGGAAACTATTACATTAATAAGGCAGTGGGATTAAATTCGCAACTTTGTGCCCTCAATTCTTTCTCGGTTCTTTGGCAAAGTCCCACGGATGTTATAAGTGAAAGGTGTACATATTGTACATTTGATCTGTTTTGATTCCCAACGCTAGTGAGTTTACGAATTCTTCACTCCAGGTAAAGAATCATGTATTGCACGATATCACACTCGCATCCTCTGAGTTATGATATACAGTAAAACGAGTAAATCTACGAAGATACGTTTAATATGTGTGTAGCAACTGCTTTAAACACTTAGGCTCAATGATTTTACAACTACAAACTGACGAAAGTATATCAAAGAGAAAAAGGCGGGGAGGGGTTGGGCGCTAAGCGTAGAAATTGTAACCCCCCCCCCCCTTTTCTCTTTCCCGCTTCTCTCCGCCCACCCTGATTAAACTTTCTAATCACGGTTTTAATAATGTTTTGTTTTTAAATAAGCTCGACAACAGTTATCCTTATTTGCATCACCACGGCTATTTTTCGTTTTTGGTGTAGACTAAAAAAGAAACTATTATTATTTTTCTAGAAATACTACAAGCATTACAAGAACCAACAGCATATCAAACACAGTGTTTGATATTCATATCATTAATCTTTTATCAACATGTGTATTAAAAATAATAATAATAAAGATAAACAATAAAACCGAATTTGTACAAGTTGCATGTAGCACGTCAAAACAATTTTTTGTAGTTTAGAAAAACATTTGAATTTCTTTCGGAAATAGCTTCCTTAGTTGTTGTGTTTTTTAAGCACCCACTCGTTTGTGTCTGAAGAGCAATGAAATATGTAAACAAACAATACGGCCAAGTGTAAACACAGCAGGTTGTTTTCTGGTAGTACGTACACACACACACACACAAACTCACATCTGTATTTGATGTGTGCGACAACACTTATTTTTTTTTCTTATATTATCACACCGCACACAAAATTTTTAGCTCATTTCTTCTTCTTCGCGTTCACCAGCTGTACACTCTGGCGGAAAGTTCTTCTGGTTGCTCGTCCACTACTGAACTGCAGTCCTGCTCCAGAACCTACCTGAGTGTTGCGTGTGCATCAGATTCTCTTGAATACAGGCTGTTGGTTCCTTGCCTCTACGGCAGATGCACTCCGACTTCAAAGGCAGCTCCCTAATTAGTCGACTCTTACGACATGCTTTTGGGGAGGCAGTGGGTCTATTCTTATTTTCCCCACAATGGGGCCCTAGGTGTTTTCTTTTATTAGTAATATTAGAGTATGATTGTATTGTCGATGTTGAAGTCTAGTCTTACCCAGCAGTGACACCACATCATGAACCAGTTTATTTGACTATAAATCATAATAAATGATATTTAAATTTAATTACCAGGCATATTTCTCTGTATCTCATCAGGTGCGTTACTACAGAGTTACATCAACATAAAATAAAGAACAAAACTGAAAAAATTCGGCCATGAAAGAAAGACAATGTATCCAATCGGCCATGAAAGAAAGACAATGTATCGAAGAAACTATTCGCATTTCAGTTGAATTTATTCAGTTTTGTGCTTTATTTTATGTTGATGTAGCAAGCTTGCTTTAATCCAGATGTTATTTGAAAAGGATCTGACTTTCTGCCTTTATATATTGCTATATTACGAGTATGAGTATCTTCAATACATGGTTTCAATACATGCTCTGTCCCCACTTCTTTTCAACTTGGCCCTGGAGAAAATTATAAGAAAATTTAAACAAGAGTGTACTATAGGAGAAACTACAAGAATACTTGAATATGTTGATGACATTGATATCATTGGAGAAAATAAATTAGAGACTGTTAAAGCATTAAATGTCTTAAAAGAATCAGCTCAGAAAATGGGACTAGTTATAGGTCAAGATAAGACAGAATGCATGATAATAACTAGACAGGGAAAGGATATAGACTCCGGCCACATACAGGTCAATAATATGAAAATCAAATGAACGGAAACGTATAAGTACTAGTGTACAAACTTCAACTGCTCCAACATGCTGAGAAAAGAAATACAATCTAGAAATAAAGTATACTATGCCCTTTAACATCTACTAAAGGCAAAGTGTCTGTCTCGCAACACCAAAATTATATTATATAAAACGTTGATAAGACCAGTCTTGTTACATGGCTCTGAAACTTGGAGCACAACTAAAAGAGATGAAGCCTTATTACAGGTTTTCGAAAACAGAGTCTTACGACAAATCTTTGGACCCATCAAAGATGCAAACAGAGATGAATAGAGAGTGAGAAATTCATAATCTGTTTAAATCACCACTGGTCACTTGCATCATAAGAGCTAATGGACTGAAATGGTTGGGGCATATTGAAAGAATGTCAGATGACAGAGAAGTAAAACTGTATACATGAGGAAGATGAATGGTCATAGACCACGAGGCAGACCAAGAAGACAAATGAGAGATAATGTCCAGACAGACCTGCAAACACTTGAGTGTTACCAACTGGAAAGAGACGGCCAACCAGAGAGATGAATGGAGGCAGGTGATAACTGCAGCAATGAACCCCAAGGGCTCGGAATGCTGAAGAAGAAGATATATATATATTTTATCATCAGTATACAGTGCGTTATCTCGATAATGATAATACAAATTATTAATAGGTAAAAGTGTTACTATTAATAATACATATAATTATTTAAAATAATAAAAATAATAATAATTAGTCTTATCAAAATTAATGACTGTCACTGTCTGAATTTCCTGCTTTACTAAGCTAATGCTTATAGCTTGTTTATATTATAAGTTATTATTCATAAACTTATAAAAGTAATAATAAAATGATGCATAATTATATTTAAATAATTTTCACAATACTGCAATTTATGTAACATTAACTCTTTGAGTCCCAGAAGGTTTAGCTTTACAAGCCCAAGGGGTAGTCAAGATAGACGTAAAATCGGCACATCATGCGTTCATTAGGAATCTAGCTGATATTTAACAGAAATGTTATCATTGGGATTCTAGGCAGTAACCTATGAACGTATGATGCGTTCCTTGGGACTCGAAGAGTTAAATAACCAGAAGTATTGACAAGCATAAAAAACCACTACGATATCATGGGTCACACTGCGTTCAGGATGGAAATTTGGGAGGCAATAGAAGAAAGAGTCGAGTGACTGCAAAGAAAACTTGCTGGTAACAATAGTTCCAAAGTCTCCTTCTCTTATTATGGAAGATTCTTCTTAACAGGGCCGGTCTAACAGGCCAAACTGGCCATCGCCATGGACTGTGATTCCATGCCTGCCTTTAGCATAGAATCCTCATCTTTTTTCTCTTCTCCTGGCATGCCTCATGTCGTCAAGCCAGGAAGAGATATCCGGAGTGGGTCCTTCTGTTCACTTCATATAAAGTACTTTTCAGTGCCTCTGATATTTCTCAGTCCATCTTCTGATGGTTGATCTCTGGCTCTGTTACCATTATATCTGTATAACATTGCTCTCTGTGGGGCCCTGTCTGATGCCAATCTTGTTACATGGCCAAACCATTTGATTTGTTGTCTATCTTCAAAGTTCAGTATTGGTTCTTTGCTGACTCTCCTACTAATATCATCGTTCCTAAGTCGATCTTTGTTTGTTACACCTAGTATAGTACGTAAACATTTCATTTCTGTTGTGACCATTTTCCTTCTGTCTTCTGAAGACAGTGTCTATGTTTGGCACTGATAGCCTAGTGTTGGTAAGAATAACAGTATAACACTAGAAAATATCTACTATTACTGGCAGGATTTACCACTTTTTTTGGGGGGTTCTGTGTAGGCGATGGAGTGTGGGTGTCTTTGAGCCTGAGGTGGAGTGTGGGTGTCTTTGAGCCTGAGGTGGAGTGTGGGTGTCTTTGAGCCTTAGGTGGAGTGTGGGGG